TCTAAATAAATGTTACATTCATATCTAATAATGAAATCATACAGTAAATGTAATACTTTACCTTGACAAAATATGAATGTAACTTGATGGGGGAGAAGGGTGATTTTGAGGTTGATAACATCGAGCTTCTCTTCAAGTGTTATATCCTTTCTTTTACGATCATCACCGGGAATTCTATCACCAGAACGCTTCTTGGAGATATTCTTCTTTACCATATTCACAATTAATACCACAAAATTGGAGAAATAGTAAGCAAAAATCGCGTTATAGCAAACAAGCGTTCGCGTTATACAAATGTCGTTCCTAATTCATAAATCGCTATCAAAACACGCCTAGCACATTACACTGCTGCCATGTGTACTGTCACTTACAATATGCATTCCCTTCAACACCACCTTCAATATTTTATAATTTGAAGAGTTCGTTTGTCAACTTTCCTCCATATTTTTAATTTTACACTCAACTGCATCACCCGTCTTACCTCAAACCATAGCGGTAGGTTTTATGAAATTATAAATAAATAATTTGTTGTAAACTGCATAAATAAGTAGATTACTCACTCGTAATCAAGTATATGCGGGTCTCGTCTGGATGCAGGCACCCTCCTGGTAGGTGTGTTGCATAATTACATGCATTCTGGCACGGGGCATTGCTCAAACCACAATGTCAGATTCATAATGGACCCATGTGTTTCTCCTCTTCTATGTTTTATATTCTTCCATAAATTCATCAGTGGCTTTGTATGTATACTGTTTTTTATACAACATTAATTTTCATGTGAAAATTTTTTTTTTATTACAATGTCAATTGTGGTAATTTGTAGTGTCTTACCCCACTGATATGGTTGAGGCGGTGGTAACGTAAGCATATCACACTCGCTGCTTTGATGTGATAAAGCACACTCGTTCCTGTAGAAAAATCTTTCCATACTGTATGGGAACACATAAGGGATTGTCACTTCACTCTACCATAACTAATATTTGCCTGTCAAATCTGAAGGCAGAAACCCTATACGTTGCAGCCACAGTGAACCCCAAAATATGAAGACCATAAATGTACTCACCACAGTGAACCCCCTTAATGCGGAGACCATAAGTAAGAGGCCATATTCATTATTGCAAATTATTGCTTAAATGCTTATAGTAAATGCTGTAAACCTTACAATGTTTACATACTTTAGGGATTTAGTCAAGTGCCAAAGTTTATGAAGAATAAAAAACAAAATTCTTTCTAATCATTAGCTCTAATAATTAATTCCATGATAATGTACATATTCTATATACTTAGTTAAGTGCATAACTATGAAAGATATACTTAGAATGAATGTGTTTGGAAGTAAAAGTTTGGTTTGGTTGTTTGTATGAATGGAAGACAAAGAAGGAATGTATAAGGCTTTGAACGGAAATTTAAAGAAAAACAGTGAGATTGAGTTCGAGAGAGATAGATAAGGATTTTGCATTCATGTTAATCTTAAAAGTGTCCATCATACTAAAGCTGCCTCTTCCAATACTGTATCATTCTAAATATTTTTTTCTTAAACTTTTACACAAGATGTATTAACACTAAACTAACTCTAAGTATAGGTACTTGTATATCCCTGTGACTTCCTCTGAAGATAAAGCTAAGCCAAACAAAACAGTTTATGCTTGGGCAGGATTTAGTTACGGCCATGTTATTAGGCCTAGAAAATTAATAAAACTACCAGATAGTTCTGGTTTTAAATATAGTACGTTTGCAGCTACTTCCTGAAGATACTGCAAGTACAGGCAGTCCCCGAGTTACGAATGGGTTACGTTCCTGGACCCTGTTCGTAAGTTGAAAATGTTAATTCCATAGATTAGGTTAAAGCACAACTCTGCCCATACAAAACACCATTAACATTCCATACATAGCAAATAATGAAATAAAGTGATGTTAAACAATATAAAGTAATGTATAAAAGGTGATTTTAGTTACAAACCTGCTCATACAAAACAACCATAATATCCTATACATAACAAATTATGTAAATAAAGTGATGTAAAAAATGGGATTCTAGTTACAGATTTTTTTCATGAATATAGTATATTGGGGATCTCATTCCCAAGTCGAGGACTGCCTGTACAGTAAATAGGTGACAGGTTAGCTGGGCCTAGGTCCTAACAGGCCACTTAACAACTTATACATCAGGAGCGAGACATTCCTAATGCTTTGGACTATTGGAACTGAACACCATTTTACCAACAATCTATTGAATGTGGATAGGTGTCATTGCCAATGCACATGAAGTTATTTATTTGACACCTTTATACATATTATTAACCCTGGTATGATCACAGCCCCTGAGTTAGATTTTCTGTTCTTCACTAGTCTGATGCTAAAACAAAGAGAAGGCAAGAAGTAGAAACAAAATAAGAGGTGAAACAGTACAGTAAGTACTTAGGAAATGTGCAAAGGTGTTACAAGTTAGGCTTTGTTAGGTTAGGTATTGTATTGGGGTATGCCTAAGTGATATGAATACAGAAATTTTGCTTGGGCATATACTTTGAGAAAGTCTTCTCTCTTATATATGACAAAATTGAAATATTCTTCAACTCATATAAGTTTGCAGATACATAAATATGAATGAGGTTGGCATGGATATTCATATACTGTACATTCAACATTATCACATTCAATAAAATGAATTTACTTTATAAGTCGCACAGTAATAAGAGAGATAATATATGACTGGAGAGTTACAGTACAGTATATGCAAGAGTGGACAGGTTTGCAACATCAAATCCCTCCAAGTGGAAGTTGAAACACATAACAGAGACTGCAGTAATCCATCCACAAAGTGTTTTCAGGTAGTCCACAATAAGTAACACCATCTTTACTGTTTTTCCAATAACTTCAAATTTTCTTGCCTTACATCACACTTGCAGGTTTAAATGAATGACAATCTACATTCTACTTCACTACCTCAAAAAATTTTTACGATGTGTTTACAATACCTTCACTAAATTTTGCAATTCTTCTGGGTGTCCATGGTTGTCATTCATTCTTATACAGAGAACAATAAGTGTTGCAGGAGAAAAAGCAATAAAATTTGATAAACAAGTGAAAGCCAAACACACACGATCAAGATATTAAACTAAGTCAAGAACTCAAACAAATATAAATTTTTTTTATGAAGAATGAATGTACTGTAATTCAATTTTGTGAAGGTCAAGTTTTCAATAACCTATTTGTCCAACAGAGGTACTGTACTGTACTGTACTGTACTTGAATATTACTTTCTGTTGATATGTGAAACAGTCAACTGTTACAGTGATGCTTGTTAATATAACAACACATACATACATACAATACAATGTACACATGATAGATTTTAATTGATATATTTTAGTTCAAAATAAACATACTGTAAGATCTAACAGTTTTTAATAGCATTTAATAATACTTAGGCATATAATGCACTGTAAGTACAGTTGGGACCTGTACATACTGCACATGATTGTATTACCAGTAATATACACATCAATATACTGTACTGTATTAATCATAATTACAGTAAATTATAAAGAGAAGTTTTATTATTTGTTCAGTAACAAACAGTGGAACTTATAGTTATTCATACCATGTAAACAGGTATACAGTCATTGTTCACTCCAGAAACATTGATATACAATCAGAACTTCAGTAACCACATAGAGGTAGTGTTACTTATATTTATATTGCAAAGTAATAATTAAAGTCATTGAATTTTCTAAAAATAAAAAAACATGTTTTTTACTACATACTGTACGTACATGCAACACATAACTCCAACTCCATTATTATTCCACCTTCTAACTTTCCATTTCAATGTTATTATTGTCAGGACTGAATTTACTCCTCCTCAAATTTATTATTAAAAAAGAAATGCTATGTTTATCCTTTGTGTAAATTAAGTATTAAAAAGCATAACAACCTTACATGCTAACAATCACACATTTAGACACACATTCGCTACCCTTCCCAGGGTTTTCAAAATCAACCAGTACCCAACATTTTCACCTACCTAAAATCACCACCGGTACTGCCTGAAATGAGAGCTTTATATATATATATATATATATATATATATGCTGATAACCACAAGGAAAGAAGAAAACACGAAGTTCCCAAGCGCTTTCGTGTAGTTCACATCTTCAGGGGTGAGTACAGACTGTACTCACCCCTGAAGATGTGAATTACACGAAAGCGCTTGGGAACTTCGTGTTTTCTTCTTTCCTTGTGGTTATCAGCATATACCTAGATCACGCCAAGCACTACAGTGATTTTACTTTTGCATATATATATATTAGGCAGGCATATATATATATGGCAGGCAGGCAGGAGCAGCAGTATATATATATATATATAGCAGCAAATATATATATATATATATATATATATATATATTATATATATATATATATATATATATATATATATATATATATATATATATATATATATATATATATATATATATGCAAGTAAATCACCGAAAGCACTTGGGAACTTTGTGTTTTCTTCTTTCCTTGTGGTTGTCAGCATATATATATATATATATATATATATATATATATATATATATATATATATATATATATATATATATATATATATATATATATATATATATATATATATATATATATATATATATATATATATATATATATATATATATATATATATATATATATATAATATATATATATATATATATATATATATATATATATATAAAATATTATCTTTTTTATGGAACCGCAAGCAGGAAATGTTAATCCATATGGCAGAGCTTACTGCGGTACAGCTGTCAGTTAAAATCATCCAAAGGCCTCATTTACCCCCACTCCAAACAATTTTTTAGAAGTACATCCTGGTTTAAACCAAGTACGCAACCTCCTGAGATAAGATTCTAAATTCCCCGTATTTCTTATAAGCAGGATCCTGGGCAGGTTACCTAATTTAGCTATAACACTTCCCCACAAGTAAAGCAGTGGCAGTTACAAGTTATTTATTAACAGCTACAATATTTTGTTTCTAATTAAGAAAATTTACTTCCCTTACACTTAAATTATTATTTGTACCACAATGTACATCTGTTAAAATACAGTTAGGCTTTGCTGAGTGTTGTCATACAGAAGATAAATATCTACCATATATTTTAGATGAAGTATTACCTGTATTTATTGATATTTTAACACTGTGAAGAAACACTTGTAAAGCTGAAACAATAAAGATGTCAATTTGTTTCAGTAAAAATTAAAAAAATTTCAAATAAAGATCTGGGTACAAGCACAAAGCCTTGTTGAAAAGTCTCTTAGTATATTTTCAGGTTAAATTTTTTCTGAAACTACTTAAAATTTGCACTATTTTTTGTCTTTACTGTACAAGTGGCTTGTTAAATGATGGCAGTGTTTTTTGTTAAGTCAATACTCTATCATCAGATCACCATGAAATTTAAATAAAAAAGCCCTCATTCTTTACATGTGTGGTCATTTATAACTACAGTACTGTAATAATATTTTTACCATTTTGTTGAGCATTAGTCTTAAAGCAGTACTTAACATTCTTAATCAAACAGCATGAGTGGGAGAGGTATTCTTCAAACATAAGCATCACAGGAAATAGCAAGGCTTTAAAATAACTATTACGCTCCTGGTTGTTTGTCCTCATTCAAACTCTTGGAATATTTCATGAAAAGGTGAAAACATACAAACCTGAGTAGAATACCACACCAATATATTAAATAAGATCATCTTTGTTATGCTAATGTAACAATAAATAATTTTTCATCATCACACTCATTACCTCAGTCTAGACCATCATTATCATCTTCCTTCTTGACCAGTGTTATATTTTGACCCACTTGTATCATAATCAAATCACTATGTAAATATAATTTTCTATTAACGACCATATATATATATTTTTTAACAGTTTCACACCATCAGTCCTATTTCATCAGTACTGTAGTCACAAGCACTGTTGAAACACCTTTCCATCGTGGTTGGTTTTGGTTTACACTTTAATCTAATCAAATATATTCCCATACTATATCTTTCACAAAGTTCTAATGATAGCTTTTCAGTTATCTATATTCCCTAATTTTACCAATGTTACCTATAATTTGTGATGGTTAATGTGACCTGAATTTTAATCTATATCTCCAGAGTTTTTCAAGTACTCTTATTACAGCCTACACTTTTAATTGTCAGTAGCCCTCTTACGGCGTTTACTAAGAAGAGAATTGTTAGCATGATCTAAGGTTTTGATCTGCAGTGTATCATAGTCTACACGCATAGTTGCGAGGGAGCGAGTCATCTCATCTTGTACCTCCTGCCATAAGTCCCCTTCTTCACGCAGTATCCTTGAGGTGTGGAGTGGTGTCTGTGGCACTTCTGAGTATTGCTATGTGCAGAGAGACAGAAATTAGTAAGTGTACACTAACAAATCAGACAAATCATGAAAGAAATATAATCCAGGTGTTAATGAGTTAGACACAGGAGACATGAAAGGTAAAGATGCAGACAATGAATTAAAACCCTGAGTCCTAGAGCCATCAACAGAATAACTTAACTCCCTATGACCTGACACCAATCAATATCTGAAGAGTTATTATTGTATCTTTTAAGGTTCTGTGTAGAAAGTTTTCTTTAAATGCCCAGAGTAGAACTGAAGTTATTATTAATTCAAGGCTGTATCTACAGGTGAATACCACAATTATCCTCCTAAACTTTTAGATAAGGAGGTATAAAGTCATAAACAATCATTTCAAGAATAATACTGTAAACATGATTTAGAAGCAATACTTGCAAAAAGAAAAAGGCACAACTGAATAGCAGAATGTAGCATCCTTCTTCAGATCAAGTAATAATTTAATACAAGTTTAAACACAATTGTTAAAATTAATAAAGACAAATGGTCAATTTATCATCATCGTTTTATGACCATTTTCCAAGCTTGTATGGGTTATATTGACATCATATGTCAAACTAACAGTATAAAAACTCACCACAATCCACTTGTTCTTCATAACATCAAATATTGTAAGACGTTCCTCTGGATCGGTGCGTAGCATTCCCTTAATCAAGTCTTTGGCATCTTGGCTTACATTGGCCCACTCTGGATTGGGAAAAGTGTATTGGCCCGTGCGAATCCTCTTTTTCATTCCCGGGGATATTGCATGGCCATGATTACTGTAGAATGGTGGGAAGCCACAAAGCCTAAAAAAAGATAGGGTAAAGTAGCTTTATTAATTTGGGAAAAAATGGCTTATAAAGAAAAAGCATCATAATATACAAAAGAATATCACATAAAACAAATATTTTTTAAAACAATTACTCATACATTACATTAAACCTTAATAAATGTATGAGATTTTCTGCTCCCACACAAAACATCACATCTTTGCAAGTGTAAGGGGAAAGGCAGCTTCATCTGCAACACATCTGTGTGATTATGTTATGTGACAGTTGTACAGAAAACATAAGTGGAAACCATGACAAAGATGTACCGATTTCAGTAGTCCTTATCATCATCATTTTACAGCCATAGAAAATGAGGTATTTCTTTAAAGTTTGTTTGAAACTGTATAATCATTAAAGTATTTTACTCAAAGTATACAAATTTCACAAACTACAATTCCTAAATTTATGAATGCCGGTGTAAATGAACTAATATTATTCACTATTACAACATCTACACAGCTATGTATATGAGAGAAATAGAGAAGAGCATCAGATATTAGGGAGTCTGTTATGAAACCCATACTGTACTGTATAACCTTACTAGGGAGACCATCGGGTACTGTAAGCTAATTGAACTTTCTATGAATTATCTGAAGATTAGACACCCCAGCTTATTTTATCTAATGTTTAAACACCACACCATAAATTTTACCCCCCCAGGCAGTATTAGGGCCCGCTCACACTGAGGCCGTAATGGACATATTCTGATGCAAATTGTCAGAACAAGTGAGTCAAGTTAACAACACATATGAGGCATATAGAGCACAAAGAATGAACTCGCCATTTCCCGATTTTCCATTATCTGTGGATTTCCCAGGAATAAGATAGAGACTACCAGATTGTGAGAGCTTCCAAGATAAAAGCAACCTTGAAATAAGTTTGGTGAGAGGTGGAAGTTGCATATTTTGACGTGTGATGCCGCCACACCCATTTTAAGGATGCCTTTATCTTGGAAGCTCTCACCATCTGGTAGTCTCTATCGTATCCTTGTAGAATTCACAGAAAATAGAAAACCGGGAAAGTGGCGAGTTCGCCTTTTGTGCATTACGTGTATACTCCTCATATCTCACACTATGTTCAAATTACATCTACAGGAAACCCCGCATAACTCGCATAACTCGGCATTTGATAATTCAGAATTTTAATAACTTAGGACAGCTACATTCTCGGAATTTGTTTCAATGTAATTCGCAAAAACCTTGTTATATAAAATAATCTAAAAAATCTCGGAATAGGTCCCTCGGTTAACATTACGACAAACACGTTTTGTTGTGCGCATCAGCTGATCAGCTAGTCCGCCAATAAAGTAATCGGTTCTATGTTTACATTCGTTTCAGCGGAGTAAATATCAAGAAGGTTGTGCTCTTTTAATATTTTTGCATTTTTTATATTAAAATTATTAGTCATTTGAAAATTTAGTTAACATATTGATAATACAGTACCTGTATATGCAGTACAGGGAACTAGTTTTTTGTGCGGCCATCAGCCGCTCGACTCACCCGCCAAAGCGTCTCTGTTTAACTTTGTTTACAGTGGAGGAAACATCGTGTTTGTTGGTCTCTTGAATACAGAGTATTTTTATGTTTTTACATTAAAATTATTGGTCATTCTGAAATTTAGTTAACATAATGATAATATATAGCGCAGTGCAGTATTGATTTAAATAAAATAATCTTTAATTACAGCTAGTGAACTTAAATTTTTGGGGGCAAAATTACTGCATCAAGCATGGGTGAGAAAGATGATTCCCCCTCAGTGATCCTCTCCAAAAAGGAGAAAGGATTTTCATGTTAGAGAATCTGTCAGTCCAGAGGTTCATGACATATTATGGAAGGTGACTCGCCTTCCAAGAAGCATTAAAATGCTTCTCTTTTCCCTTCTCCTCCATCCCCACTTCCTTCTCTTCTCCCTTCTCCTCCACCCCCACTTGTAATTCCCATCATCATCATCAACCAGGAACCTTCTACATACACACCTCAAAGTAAGTGTACTTTACTGCAGTTTGTTTATACTTTGTATGTACTTTTCTGTGAGTAGGAACCAATTACCCAATATCCCATTGAAATAATAGATTCGGTTAACGAACGACTCTGTGGAACGAATTGTGTTCGTTAACCGAGGGACCACTGTACTGTAAACTTATCCCCCCTGTATTTGCGAACCTCATATTTACAAATTCACTTAATCACAAAAAAATTATTAGTGATCCTTTATTCAAGATTTGTGATCGCAATTCAACTATCTGAATTGGCACATGTTCATCTCCCACACACACACTCCGTGGTTAGTCAGCTCTCTTGTGTGTGCTGCACTGTCCTCCCCCTCTCACTCAACCCAGTACATGGATGCGGGTAAAGGAGGCACCCTAATATTTTTGGTTTGAGGTGCTATACATTGCACTATAGAGTATCTAGGGTACCAGAATTAATATTCAGCACCCCCTGGTAAAAAAAAATTTCTGCAGTACTGACCCAGTACTGTAACAATCAACAGCCTCCCCAATTCATGTCTGACCATTCTATGGAGAACGCCTCCACTTTTATGATAAATCTAATGTCGTAGACATTATTTAGTCAACAGTGCATTAAATTTTATCCAACTATCTGAATCTTCCAGGTATCTGAACTTTGTCCCCTTTGGTCCTATTCAATAAAAATTCTAATTTAGTCCAACAATCTGAATGCAACTGAAGTCATTCACTCGTGTCTGCCACCAGTAGAGCTATAACTGCTTTGTTTAAAAAAATGCTCTGATAAACAATAAAAACAATAAAACTGATACATAGCAAATCAAAAAATACAATAACACATATTTTATGCACAAAATATAGTTCCTTCCATACTCACACCACCTAAGAGAGGCCACACAGTTCAGCCAGGCAGTACACCCAACCACCCACACACCTATGCGTGTGTGTGTTGGCGTTCCATTTATTAACATTAAATAGCATTACTTAAAACATGCATATTCATTTTTTTTACATTAATTTTACTACAGCTACAACCAGGTTCTTATTTTCTTGAGTTTCTGATGTAGAACCATTGACACTGGTGCTATAAACATTAACGAAAACAATGCCGTCTCATCACCTCTAGTATGTTTTAATATTCTACGTATTATTAATGAATTGTATTGTTCATTTTGCATATATATACATTAATTCAAGCAAATACATATTCAGTAATAAACAATAATGAATCTTTTGTACAGATTCTTAATAAGATAAATGACCCGGTTTCCTTGAGGGCGCACGTCTATGTTGGCGTTCCACTTTCTGTCTCACCTTTTTCTTTAACATCAGTGGTTACTTTTACTGTACATTAAATAACATTAATTAAAACATACATAATTTTTTTCATTAATTTTACTACAGCAACAACCAGGATCTTATTTTCTTCAGTTTAAGATGGATAATTGACATTAGGGTATAAACACTTAACAACAATGGCATCCCATCTTCTCTTGTGTGACCTTATTATTATTGATTTATATTGTATAAGGTGCATTCATAAACATTATTTAAAGAATATAGTTTTGATTTTTCATTAATGTTATTGTTTGGGGGGAAAGAGGGTAAAAAGTCACACAAAAGTTATGAAAAGGTCACACTTGGGAACGCATATCATTATTATTGTTTTTTTAATGGTAATTAGTGATTCACGATACCATGATTCACCTTACACTGCAAAATTGGAGGACACATTACAGTCGTTATTCGAGGCTTTACTGTAGTATACATAAATGCCACACTGTTTACTGTTTACATCGTGTACCCCCTCCATCACATACCATGCCTCTGTCACCTAATATGATGCTTCATTCTTCACCTGCAGTGCTGGTGTTACTTTTTAAAAATTAGTAATTACATGAACATGTACATTGGCAGATGTTTTATTGTTGTTTTATTGGAGGGGGGGGGGGAGGTGAAGGGAATGCCTTAATAATTCAGAATTTGGGATAATTTGGTAAGATCAGAGCCCCATAGGTGGCGAGTTATCAGGGATTTACTGTATATAATTCCAATCTTTCAAATTTTATCCTAAAGTGAAAACAGTTTTCTTCTCCCTAGAAAGACAGTGAGCCATGATACAGGTATTAGCTAAGCTGAGGAAATCATAATATCCACCACAGCGTCACATATCGTTTGTCTCTGGAGATCTTGCATCAGAAAAGTCTGGTTCCAGCCTTGGTGCGAGCAGGCCCTTAGAGTGTTTAATCATCAGGCAAAATCAATTGGGTTGACTAATCTTACAATGATCCCCTTTTCTTCCCCCTCTCCTTCTTGCTTTACTCTGTTGTAATAGGGTGTAAAAATACTCACAAAATGTACATAATAACACCCAAAGACCAGATGTCACAGCTCTTGTCATACTTCTCTGGTCCCAACACCTCAGGGGCTGAAATAAAAAATCCTGTGAGTTGAAACATAAACAAGCTTGTGAATTATACAGAAATAAGCCTGCAAGTTGTTACATGGACAAGCCGATACACCCCCTCCCCTTCCCTTCCCAAAAACAACAAAAAAACAGTAAATCAAACAAAAAGAAACACATGACTTAATTCATACATTAGCATTAGTGTTCAATAATTAGGTGAAATACATGAGGGTTCCCAATCTTCATGAGATCCCAAATTTGGTAAAAAAGAAGGACAAACAGAAAGGAAACCTAGAATTTTTGGACACTGTCACATTATCAATCTCATCCACAGTTATTTGCTGTTTAACATATTTGACTTGATGTAATTTTTTAATTTTCAAATACTTGTACTCGAAAAAAAAAAAAAAAAGACTGGTAAGTCCAGTGATCAAGGCTAAATTATCCACAACTCAATAGGTAGATACACAAGTACAGATAAACAAATAAAGATATTGAAGGTGATAAGCTACCAATAGATAAGGCTCAAGACTCACCAACGTAGTATGGAGTGTAACATGGTGTCTGCAGGGATTCTTTAGAAAACGTTTCTTTGGCAAACCCAAAATCAGTCAATTTCAGCAATGCATCATCACCTGAAGGGTAGAAATACCTGTCATAATCTGTATTTATTAGAGGTTAAAACACAGCACAAAGAAAACAACCAAATGTTTTAAACAGGAACCTTTCGATTTACATGATAATTATGTTCTCGAAAATGGTTGTGTAATTAAAAAAACATGTAAATTAAACAATGTAAATACAGTAGTGGAGATAAGGGGGTTTTGTTATTAATAAAACAATGCCCAATATTATACCAGTCAAAAACTAAAGTACTGTATACATGTACCAGGAAATATAAAATACTCCGGGCCCTTGCTTGTATCACAAGCATGCTGACGGGAACATTTTCATGAGTTTGGTATTCGATCCATGTGCTCAACATTCATTCCATTCTCTCCATAATCAAACTTTGGGAATACGAAGTCTTGGATGCACTGATTAATGTTCCACTCTTTGCACTTTCCTCGACCTTCTCTGCATTATCAAGAATAGTCCGTAAAGTAGATTCACTAAGTTCAAGGGCACGCTTAATATCAAATGTTTGTTCATATCTCTCATAATGTTTGAGCACATCCACCCTAACCTCAATGGTGGTGGCTTTATGCTTCTTAACACCAGTGATACCAGAGGAATTTAAAGGATGCTTTAGTGGCATGATGCATGAGGCAAACATGTGCAGTATACTGTACAGTACAAAATACTGTAGCCCTCCGTGACTATAAACTGTATCCACGTACTGAGAACTGCAAGGTGGGAAGCTGCATGCCTACGCCACGCATACTTCTAGTATACAACAATGGCAACACGACACCACCACGCTGCCAGCCCTATGATGATGTTTGTCAAAGGTCGCATTACTCCAAGCTTAAGCATATGTAAATTATAAAAGAAGTAAATAAACCATGTGTGTTATTAAAAAAATTATGTAAATCGAATATGTGTAAATCAAGAGGTACCTGTAGTATGGGCAAAGTGAACTATACTTTAGAATTTCTTCCCCTATAATTTAAATGGAAAAATAGGTTTACACCAGTCACGCATTATCATAATATCAAATGTTCATGATTTTCCATCGACTTAACGCTATTTCCCATGAAGAGATATCTTTTAAGTTTGGCAATAAGTTTGGTTGATAAGGGTGATAATTAGATTGATTCATAATGGTGGCACTAAGATTAATTCACAAGGACCTATCTTAGTACAGCACCGCCATTATGAAATTGTCTTATTGCCAGCCTTATGGACCAATCTTAAGCATGGTAATTTTATTCTTAAAATTAAAACAAAATTATAAATGAAACTAACAATTAATTACTTCAATTCAATATTTGTATCAATTAAATGAATTGTTTACATACAGTACTGTAATCACACTGTCCACTGATTTGTTTCTTGTCTTACTTATTGGTCATTTTATGTTTTCATAACTTTCAATGACTATATTAGTAAAACTCCATAAGTTTCCAGACCTGCAATTTGTAAAATTAATTTCTAAAATTTCCAAGTGTGTGTGAGCAAATGTAAATGGGTCCCAGACACACAACTATCCATTAAGTACAATGTGGATACAGCACATGCACTGAACTGTAAAGTTAGGTACCCATTTATGCTAAGGGAGTGCCCCAGTAGCCCATAGGGTAGGAGGCATGTGCTGTTTCCACTCAGCTGCTGCACTCCACAAGTGTGTATGAACTATTTATTTAGTTTCCAAGACCATCCCACAGACCATGTTCAGTTATCATTGTTGGTGTAGAGACATGCCTTTCTCACTAAAATGCACAATACAATGTGTGTGATATAAATTTTTAATACCGTACAAGACAAATGTGTGCAGAACCTGTTAGGAGAGGGGGTTTTCAGCACCCCCATTATAATATATGGCACTGTACTGTACTACAAAGTTATATTCTTGGACTAATGAGCAGCAGATCAAATTCAAGTAAGAGTAAACAAGAAAAAAGTTCCCTCAAATAACAAATTATACCAAGATGATGGACTCAGTGAGCTACTTATTTTATCTTTGTACTATTCAAAAGACATTAGGCCTGTACAGTACACTTACTTTACTAAAAAAAAAAAAGTAGCTACTGCAATATCAAGTAGACTTTGTTTACAGTTCAACCAACATACAGTACTAGTATTAGGCCATAGAGTGCCTACCCAATCTGGTATAAAGGAGATTTTCTGGTTTCAGATCTCTGTGAGCTATATTAAGAAGATGAAGATGTTGTACTGCCACACAAATTTCCCTCATGATGCAGGCCGCCTCACGTTCAGTAAATGCACCATCAGCTCGATCTTGAATACGCTGAAATAATTCTCCGCCCTCCATACTGAAAAAAAAAATTATTCAGTTCTGATCAATATATATGTAGATACAGTACTATATATTTTCATGCACTTTGACTGTTTCCTTGTATGTATCAATCCAGTTTCATTGTTTCAAACATTACAACTTATTCCACATAAAATGAGTCTCAAAATTACTGAATACAGTACTTTAATATTCAATATCCTTAGAGTAACAAGTTCTTTGCATTTGTCAAAAATCTGAAAAAAGTTCCCATAATATACAGTAATATCTCCCTTAGCTGGAATCCCTCATACCCGGAACTCTCCGATAGCCGGAATAGAAATTTTCTCGGAAACCCAAAGCTGGAATTTTCTGGAAAATTCTGGGGATGAGGGATATTTTTCTGGGTTTTAGAGATGAAAATCAGGTGCATTTTCTGGAAACTCCGAGAAAACTTTTCTGTTACTCGGAAAATTCCTGGGATGAGGGATATTTTTCCGGGTTCGAGAGATGATGTAATGGGCAATTTCTGGAACTTCCGAGAAAATTTTTCCGTTATCCGGAAAATTCTGGGGATGAGAGATTTTTTCCGGCTTTGAGGAGAGTCGTCTCGTTACCCGAAAAACTCTCATTCCTGAAAGTGCTTTGCACCAATTGTTCCGGCTAACGGGGATATCACTGTACTCGTATACTGGTACGTACTGTACTTTATCACAGCCAAATTTTTCAGCAAAAAAGTTTTCGCTATTTTGAATTTATCTTCTAAACCTCCACATAAAAAAAAAAGACAATGACAGGACTTCATGAAATATATCTGCCAACATAACCCTAATTGTAATATAGAAAATATAACAACGGATATAAACTGAAAAGAATAAATAAATACTGCAGTCTATAATCTTAAATGAATTTATAAAGAAATTGATTAAATATGGTCATTCTTTTCATGCCTTGCAGAAGTTTACAGTTTATATACAACATGTACTCTCAATATTTTTATCAAAGAAAATAGGAGAATAACAGTACCCTTACAAACATGATAACTACAGACCAAATCTTTCAAGAAATATTAAAAATAAATTAAAAATACAGTAATCATCCTAAAAAGACAAGTTGAACTAAAAGGGAATGTAAAACTACTACTGCCGTGATAATATTCCCACAATACTTTTTTACACAAATTCATGAAAGTGAGAAATGAAAACCAAATGAATATCTTCAGTCTATGAGCAACAAGTCTGCCAGATTTCAGAAAAAAAGATTTCTAACAAATAAAGGAGGGGATTACACAAACCCTAATATGTAACAGAGGGGCAGAACAGTACAGCCCTGAAAATGCTCACTGGCAAGGACATAAATACATGACAATTCAGCATGGTTCATAATCTTATAATAATAATAATGGTTGCCTGGAATGCCCTTCATATTTGAGGCTGGCTGGCACAAAGGCCGCTTAGGCATAAATTTGTTTACGGCATAAAAACTGTCACCATCACAACAACCACACCATTAGTTAATAAGCTGTATGACCTAGTGTCAAGAAATTACCCAAAAGAACCAGACAATTTGCCAACTCTACTGGCTAGCCTTTACCCCAGAACACAATCCATCAATCAATTAACATCTAGGTTCCTAACTGCCACTGGGCAAGTAAAAGTAAATGAAGGAAAGAAACTTGCTCTTACCATAGTTTCAGTCTGAATAGGGATCGAACCCAGGGCCATTCACCAAATGGGCAAGTATGCTAACCACTATATCACAGGTCAAAATCAAATACACACACCCTATGAGCACCTACCATTCCATGACAACTAATAAGCACTTCTGGTTGTTGTAAACATTCTCATACACGTCAATTATTGCTACAACATGTGGGCAAGCTGATCCCCTACAGTGCAGATCCACCTCTCGTCTAGACTTTGGGCTGTCACGCAGTACCTGTAGAATTAACAGTGGAAAAACAATGGGCATTATGACACTCTTCGTTAAATGAGACAATTATCCTGAAATCTATCTTATGGCTGAGTGCAAAACTAGAGCAACTTGAGTGCCTACCGCCCTTTCAATGGAAGGCATGAAAGTCAAATGAAATTAAAAGCTCTGATGCCCACTGCTTCAAAAGATCCCTTTCAGAAATTTGTTGTGACAGGGAGGTATAACTAATCCTTAATTAGTCCCTGACAGTCAGATGCGTAAGGGTTAACAACATAGGTCTCTGGGCTAAAAATCAAAATTTTCCCAGTTCCCGACTCACCCATAAAATGGTATTTCAAGATCAATCCCTTTTTTTTTACTTGTTTAAGGGTACCATAAAGCATTTTAGTTTTCTTAGTCACACATCTTTTAAAGCTATAGCTACAGCAGGCTTATGAAGGATATGAGGTATGGGGGCAGGATGTAAGACTATAAATACTAAACTGGTGGGAAAGATCCACTACTTTCATATACAGTACAGCACTTTACATAAATCAGTGACTGCAAAATTTTCCTCTCCATTAAAAGATTTTCCAGGAGAAGTCTACATTACTCCAAGTTCCCTTAACACAAATGAGATAGTGATTTACAATATGAACCAGTATGTACACTTTGGCAGATAGTAAGACAAATCCCTTTCATTATGGCATAAATCAAATCCTTTGATGAATAAATCTGAGGGAATATCTTTAAGAAAAATTAGCATGATGTTCAGTACAGGAGCTCCTCTACTTACCAATGAGTTATATTCCTGAAGCTTGTTCTTAAGTCCAGCTTTACTCATGTAGATACCAACATATTGTATAAAAATTTAAATAAAGGATGTACAGTACTGTACAGCTATGCCCCACAGGACAGCCTTAATATCAGGCATACTCTTCTCCCCATAAGCAAGGTATGTTCTATCAGGCATTTTTCTTCCAATATAATCCAGTCAACCACATTAAACACCTGCTCTGGCAGGTAACCCACCTCAATGATATTGTTCATATCTCTGAAAGTTTGTACTTCATAAGTCAAATGTTCATCAGTAGAGGAGGACCTGTATTGTTTTTCTTAATAAATTTCTTTATAAATTTTTGTCTGCTTTTCACAAAGAGTGCCGTGACACATAAGTCCAAAACATCCTGTCTGGAAAAGTGTGAATGAACTTAGCACAACACACACACACACACACACACACACACACACACACACACACACACACACACACACACACACACACACACACACACACACACACACACACACACACACACACACACACACACACACACACACACACACACACACACACACACACACACACACACACACACACACACACACACACACACACACACACACACACACACACACACACACACACACACACACACACACACACACACACACACACACACACACACACACACACACACACACACACACACACACACACACACACACACACACACACACACACACACACACACACACACACACACACACACACACACACACACACACACACACACACACACACACACACACACACACACACACACACACACACACACACACACACACACACACACACACACACACACACACACACACACACACACACACACACACACACACACACACACACACACACACACACACACACACACACACACACACACACACACACACACACACACACACACACACACACACACACACACACACACACACACACACACACACACACACACACACACACACACACACACACACACACACACACACACACACACACACACACACACACACACACACACACACACACACACACACACACACACACACACACACACACACACACACACACACACACACACACACACACACACACACACACACACACACACACACACACACACACACACACACACACACACACACACACACACACACACACACACACACACACACACACACACACACACACACACACACACACACACACACACACACACACACACACACACACACACACACACACACACACACACACACACACACACACACACACACACACACACACACACACACACACACACACACACACACACACACACACACACACACACACACACACACACACACACACACACACACACACACACACACACACACACACACACACACACACACACACACACACACACACACACACACACACACACACACACACACACACACACACACACACACACACACACACACACACACACACACACACACACACACACACACACACACACACACACACACACACACACACACACACACACACACACACACACACACACACACACACACACACACACACACACACACACACACACACACACACACACACACACACACACACACACACACACACACACACACACACACACACACACACACACACACACACACACACACACACACACACACACACACACACACACACACACACACTCCCAGTAAACACTGCTCCACACTGTCACTATGTTGAAATGAACTGTAGTTTGTTTTGATCTCATCTAGTTATTATATGTCTTATTTGTGTCACTTATGTCAACTTGTATATTATTTGTAATTGCAAACTCCATTCCCCCAAACATGTAATTGTATATTTTCAGCCTTCTGGCTGCCAAGCCTTTCAATAAACCGTTAATTATTATTATTATTATTATTACACACACAGATAGTCTATTTACGATATTTTATAATGCGAATTGCCATTTACGCACCGTCCACGATAATTATTATTTACGGTAATGCCATCATATACGCCAAGCGGCGGGCAAGGTGCTGCGCTGACGTCAGACTCGGCAACAATGACGTCGCGGACTGTGATTGGGCCACGTATCCTTACCATCCACGCACTCCTTCCGCCACACGCTGTGATTGGTCTATTTAACCTTGCTCGCCCTGCCACCAGCGCTCATGACCTTGGCCGCGCCAGTCTCACTCGTGCCCAGGAACCAGTTTTGTTTTTTCTTTCTACACAATGGCTACTGCTGGATCCCCACCATCCCTGAGAAACCCTGAACTACCTGGCCCAAGCAGCCCCAAGCCCAAGAAGGTGCAACGCGCCTTAAGCTATGAGGTTAAGTATAAGATCGTAGAGGAGTTAGAAAAAGGCACAAGGCAGGTGGATCAGACCAGACAATATGGAGTGAATGAATCGACGATCTGCACGATCAAGAAGGATGCTGGCAAAATCCATGAACACATGAACATTACCAAGTCTGTAGGTGCCTCGCTGGTGAAATATTGCCACAATAAGGTGCTGCTGAAGACCGAGAGTTGTTTGGTAAGCAACATTATTCGTCAATCAAGAAGAAACATGGCGGTCGACACTCGGGCCCTGCAGGACTACGCCCGAGAACTCTACAAAGCAGTGGCAAGAAAAATGGGAGTTGCAGAGCCCAAGCCCTTCAGTGCTTCCGCTGGGTGGCTGCAAGGTTTTAAACGACGCAACAAGATCACGAATATTGAGATAGTCGGAGAGGGAGCAAGTGCTGACCGGGCTGCCGCCATGAATTTTCCCCCATTTTTACGAAAAATTATGGAGGAAGGACAGTAAACCGACGACCAAGTTTACAATATGGATGAATCAGGGTTGTAATGGAAGAAATTGCCATCCAAGACCTTCGTAGTCAAGTCTGCGAGCAAGTGTCGGGGATGCAAAATGCAGAAGGAGCGCATCACCGTACTGTTCACCACCAATGCCTCCGGCACTGCTAAGCTGAAGTTGTCTGTGATCCACAAAGCCCGCAAGCCGCATGCCTACAAGAATATGGACATGAGCAAGTTAAATGTCCACTGGCTAACCTCAGGGAAGGCATGAATGTTCTCTGGTCTGTCCCTCTCCTGGTTTGACAACTGTCTCGTTCCTGATATCAAGAAATTCTGCGTGGAAAATAATGTGCCATTCAACATTTTGTTGCTCCTCGACAACGCACCAGGACACTTGCCCCTTTTGCTGGATCGTCACCCCAACGTAAAAGTGGTCTTCCTTCCCGCTAACACTACGTCGTCAATCCAGCCCATTGATCAGGAGTTGATTTGCAAAGTGAAGGCTGCTTTCTCCGCCAAGAAGTTTCGGCCCCTGAACGACTTCACCAACACCAAGGATGAACTGCAGAACCTAGAGAGTAGCACCGATAGCGAGGACGAGGAACATGAACAAGATTTGGCGGACCATGAAGTGCGGGTCAAGCTGTTTAACGTGAAGAAGGCTGTTGATTTCTTGGTGGAGGAATGGGGGCAGCTATCTGTGGCAACGATTCGGCATTCATTGGTAGGTACCAGATATCAAAGTAAGTTCTTTCTACTTTACTATATGCCAGGGGAGGGGAGGAGAACCCCTGTTAGAAAGTTAGGTTAGTTAGGTCAGGTTCAGTAAGGTACTGTGCATAGTTGTTTCCAGTTTTGTGATAAGTATCATGCAAATACTATCTCCAGAAATTTTGTTCCATTCCATAAGTTATTTCTACTGTTAACCGTGTTCTTTTCCAAGTTTAATAAGGTTAGTTAAGTTAGGTTGAGTTTATTTATTTTGGTTACAGTCCAACTCGGCCCATTGCCAACTCGGACCACTTAGTTTAACGAACTCGGACTAAAAAGTAAAAGTTTACACATTTTTGCATGAATGATAAAAGTACTATGATCAAAAGCAGCATAGAATATAAGGGGGGGAGGGGATTGATTTGTTAATATTTATCTTTTCATTCTATCTTATTAATACAGTATATTAATGTACATATGTGGAAGAGGTGATCTTTTTTCTATTACAGGTTGTACCTCTCTAGTCCGGCAACCTCGGGACCTGACCGGTGCCGGACCATGGAAATTCACCCTTTTCCTGGATAGATAGTGACTTGTGCTTATGCTTGGAAGCACTAGCACCACTTTCTCTGCTTCATGGTCTCTTTGAAGACATATTGAAGGGATAAATGTCGTACAGTAGCTTCTCAAATTTCGCGAGTTTTTAATTCGACCTTTTTTTGAACACAAAAAAAAACAATTGAAAATTTTGACGGCGGAAACTCGAATTTCGATGGGATTGAACGGTCCACCAACGTTCAGACGACGTGCACAATCGTGTACACAGCGTCATTTCTCTTATGTACAAAAGATTCATTATTCTTTATTGCTGAGTCTTTTTGATTGAATTAATGTTTATGTGTGCAAAATGAGCAATACAATTCATTAATAATACGTAGAATATTAAAACACGAGAAAATGAGACAGCATTGTTTTCGTTGATTAAAAACCAGTGACTGACTGGTTCTACATATAAAACTGAAGAAAATAAGACCCTGGTTGTAGCTGTAGTAAAATTAATATGGTTGTTTTAAGTGATGTTATTTAATGTTAATAAATGGAACAAAAGAAGTAGCTAACGATAATGGTAAAGAAAAAAAAGAAAGATCGCGTATGTAAGTGTGCACACGTGAAAACGTATCGTCATTACTTTAAAATAAGAATATGAAAGCAACACTTCTTTACTGTTCATTTTAATTAATGTTTCTGAATTTGTTTTTATTGAATTAATGTTTGTGTGTGCAAAATGAACAATACAATTTATTAATAATACGTGGAATATTAAAACACACGAGGGGACAAGACGGCTACCGGCATTGTTTATGTTAAAGCTTACAAAACCAGTGACTGATTGGTTCTACATATAAAACTGAAGAAAATAAGACCCTGATTGTAGCTGTAGTAAAATTAATGTAAAAAAAATTAATATGGTGGTTTGAAGTAATGTTATTTAATGTTAATAAATGGAACAATATAAGTAGCTAACCACTAATGGAAAAAAAAAGTGAGACTGCGCATATGTAAGTGCGCACATGTGAAAACATATCGTCATTACTCTACATACGAATATGAAAGCAACACTTATTTACTGCTCATATATATTGAAGGGTTAAATGTTGTACTCTGTATAGACAAGCAGAGAGAGAGAGAGCAGCCGAACTGCCGGATGTAAACAAACCTTAATTTCCCGCGGCTTTGTTGTTGTTTTTTTACGGGGATTAGCCCACCCGGGCATAGGTCACTGACCCACATTGGGGCCTGAGGGGCAAAAATTTAATACTCCTGTAATAATAATAATAATTCAGAAAAAAAAAAAAAGCTGCCTATCTACCTATTGGGCAAACTAAAATCATTCCGGACCACGGGAGTTTCCGGACCACAGAATGCCAGACTAGAGAGGTACAACCTGTATATACAGGTACAGTATACTGTATAATTTTATATTGTATATTTAGTTCACAATTAAGATCACTTTACCTGAAGACCTGACAACGACACCCTCACAAAATATGACGGTTGAGGATGACCTGATCACGAGATCTGAGGTTAACGAGTTCCACAACAATTTAAATAATGAGTTACTGGTACTTAGTGCACAAAGGCAGAACATATCAAACAGAAAACTCGGATCAAATAACAATGACCCCAAATGGATAAATATATTATTATTTAAAGATATCATTGGCCAAAGGAAGGCTATAGGTTGGAGAATAAATCGTGAAGTTTACCTCCGAGATTAAACATGATATTGGAGGCACCGACTATACAGAGATAGAAGTGACTTGTAACGATGTTAGTAAGCAAATAGACAAGCTAAAGTCTAATAAGTCACCAGGTCCCGATGAAATAGTTGCCAGAGTATTAAAGCAATGTAAAGAAGAGCTTAGTATGCCCTTAGCAAAGTTGTTTAACATGTCCTTAAAAACGGGTGTAGTACCAGAATCCTGGAGGATAGCGAATGTGATACCGATTTTCATGAAGGGAGATAGATCACTATCCTCTAACTACTGTCCCATCAGTTTAACATCAATTGTAGGCAAATTGCTGGAAGCAATAATTTCAAATCCTATTAAATCACCTGGAGAAGCACAAGTTACGAATAACTTCAAACCGACTGAACCCTCTGTATTCACTCTTCGTATTTCAGTGAACCAAAAGAGACATAAAACATATCTCAAACTCATTCTTGAACCTCTAGTCAGCTACTTGTTTGACGTGTGCAAGGTGGGACGAGCTGGTTATTTAAGATGGGCCGAGTTGGAGGTACACCTTTATTTTACCTGTCTTAGAAAAGAAGTTGTCTTTGAATTCTTGTGGAAGAAAAGCACAGAAAAGCAAAATGCATTAACTTCAAATCCTGGGTGGATATGACCTATTATCAATACAAGTAACAACTTATTTTGGTAATTACAGAGAACAACACTACTACCAGAAGGAGTTGCTCAATGTCGTTCATTTTATCCACAGGTGTTTTTATCATTACAGTAAGTATTTTAAGAGGCAACAACTTTTTATTTTAATTAAAGTTATTTATTTATTTTTCTCTATCTTAATCATAAATCACCTGTAGTGGACAGGGCATGATAGATGAGGGAAATTGCAGGGTAAAACACGGTGTAAAACTGATCCCATGATACTAAAAGAATGTCTCTACGTGCTTTGTCCATGAGAGACTAATATGAGGACATGACAAGTTATTTGTTTTGATGTTTATATTCTTACAGTACTTTCATCATTGAGTTCTGATATAATACAGTAATCACTCTTATGGAAATTGATGTGTTTGGTATATAATTTGGTGACTAGGCACGCACTACTTTGTCTTTCTAGGCATGATGTGACGGTAGACAGCCAGTCATCTCCAATTGATGCCAGTCGTCAGTGTATGTTTATAAGCCACACGTCAACAAAAAAGTAAAATTACATCATATAATACATTAGTAAGTTCTTTCTGTCTAATATGCCGGGGGGGGTTGGAGGGTTGAGCCATGTTAGGTAAGGAGAGGAAGGTTTCTTTGGTTAGGTTGGTAAGTCTTCTAACAACCTTTCTGCCGCTTGTTTTTCTTATCAACTAAGGTTAGGTTAGGTTAAATTTAGAAATAACCTATTTTTAAGACATTCGCCATAACTACGAAAGTGTCCACTATAAAACACACTGAAATTAAGGCGTTCTTAAATGTTTTCTATGAAAAATCAGCGGCTGTGAAGTCGAAAGTAATTGCCGAAACTATAAATTAACCCATAAAAGACATATAAAATATAGTAGCTAATTTAGGTGCACTAGAAGAAGTAGGAAGATTATTTTCCCACACAAACTATCAAACTGTCTAAATATGGCCAAAACTACATGTGTGGTATAAGCAGAACTCCAGCACTGGGGAGTGGGGAAGCAGCTAAGAAGATTACCTTAAGGGCATACTTCTTCTGGTCCTTCTTGCTGAAGCACTCGACCACCTTGCCGTTGATGCCCAGACCCAACACGTTGTTTGAGATAACATAGTCTTCTATTAAAGGTTTGGACTTGGTGTTGAGGACACACACCCCAGCGCGACTCCTGCTGGCCTCCTCCACCTGATCCACCATCATTGGCTCCTCCATCATGGCCGGACGAGAACCACTATAACTCCTGAGGTTATTCACGTGTCACACAACATGTCAGTGAGGGAAGACAACAACTGGCAGGTAATAACAGCCACTCCACCACAACATCCACTGGCCGGAAGCTACACGGGGAGATCCACCACACTATTCAGGAAGATTAATATGATGCCCTTGACTTTTTTCTCAAGTAGTGGAGCTACATCTAATTATTAAGTGGTATTCTGATATGTTATTAATACTATATTATTAATTTTAACACAGTCTGAGGTTAAAGATAGACCCGTATTTCTAAGATAAACAAAAACATCATTTCCTAATATGGTTGTCATTAATTCTAAACTTAGAAATTAAAGTTCTCCGAGACGATTCAGCTATGATGACTATGCTGCATTAAAATATAAAACTAAAGGAGTTTCAAGTTGAAAGATAAACTTTTATAGATCAACAATTCCTACTAATTTAACTTTTTTCATGAATATCCAACAGGAGGCTTCGTCTTCACATTCACTTCATTGTTCATGAGAGGAATAAAAAACACAATTATAAAAAAAAAAATTTCTAATCCCCCGAAACATTTCTTAGGTCATAAGTTATAGAAAACGACTATACTATAAATAGATAGCATTGTTAACCCCGGATAATACACCTTTAAGTTCTGTTACATACACTATTCACAAATTAGTTTTCTCATTTAGTAGTCTAAAATCTTTATGATCATGGAGAGAATATTATAGATTACACAATATTACATAATTGTGATCCATACACAAAGGCGGACCCCTTTTTTCATCATAAAATTCCAATACATTTTCTTTGATGCAGTATTTTACTCGGGCAATTTTGTATAGTAAAAAGTAATTACTACTGGTCTCAGAATATCTCCTAATATCAATTGCACATGGCTACAAAATGCCCATGACATTGGTAAAAAAAAAATCTGGGTGGCTTACAGCGCCTACCCCCAGCTTTGCTACTATAGGCATGTTCCTCCCCTCTTTTGATATTCCTGGATCCGCCTCTCATACATGCTACCATAATCGTTTGAAAGATTTTTGCATAAATATATATCACAAAGTGCCGAAATTTCTAGCAATGCAGTTGCATTACTTATTATTTGAACCACATTTACAGGGTGATTCAGCAAAGAGTACATTAAATTGGAGGATGAAATCCTTGGTTAATTCTAAACCACAACGTCTCTATGGTAAAATGTCAGATTCTTCATAGTTTCCATGTTACACTACATTTAAGATGTTGTATTAATGAGTGTGAATTTGAAGTGAAATCCCCGTAGGTTTTTGTAATCATTTATTCACAGACCTCTACAGTGTGACCCCTGTGTTACAACCTAAAGGAAATGTTCAAAGTTGCCCCCTTCTGCCTCAATGTAGGCCTGTACACGTCGTACCATTGATTGTGTTGTAGTGGATACCTCCCCTACAAACGCTGTTTGTCCCTGAGTAGCCGACCCCGCGAATTCCCCAGTGTATGCTTCATGGTCTGGGTCAACCAGCGCCGCCATACATCACGGAGATCAACTACTAAGCCACGCCGACCCCCGCTATTTAAGACCTGACCTCGTGGTGACCTCCCTCTTCTTCTAGCTACAGCCGCAGCAAGCTACACCTCCTCCTCCGCCGCTGCCTGGCGGCCCTCGCTCCCGCCGGCGAGCATGGCGACCCACAAGCTGTCCTCCTCTGAGCATCCTCACCAACCAGCTCTCTCTACATCACGCTTGTAACCACGCTGCCACTTCCCAGCACCAAGCTGCATTGTACATCCAAAATAACATGTATACAGAGAGCACATTGTGAATTTCCTTTCTCCAACCATCCTGAGTGTGAACCCAAACATAACGTACCCCACAAATGGTGACCCCCGGAGATTCGCACTCACACAGGATGGAGGAGAAACAGATCACGCTCCCAGTCTTCAAGCAACATGGAAGACTGACTTATCCACCCAGAAGCAGCTCTCATCGGCTCTACAGCTACTGTCTCTAAACCACAGGTTAGACACCCTAGAGCAGCACTGCTTCTCTAAGCAGACACCAGCTCCTCTTCCTGCCCCAAGCACCACGTCCTACCGACCCCAGCACACCCCTCCTGCCTCAGACGCCGCCCCCGGCCCAGCAGTACCCCCTGCCGCTCCTCCTGATGCAGGCCCTGCTCCCGACGCGGCTCATGCGCCTGAGTGCGGACCCACACACCCCTCTTTTCTCCCTCAGGTACTCCCTGCTACTGTCCTGCACCCTGCTGCTGTCGTGGACCCAGCTGCTGTCACGAGCCCTCATCCGCCTCTGCTGACGCAACCCCTGCTCCTGACTCAGGCCCACACATCCCAGCAGGCGCATCTGACGACTCTGTACCTGCCGTGAGGGAAGCACAACATTCATCGCCACCACACACCCTTTTTCTCCCTCTCTACTCCCACAGATATTGTGTATCTAGACAGATGTCTCCTCTAGCGGCCGGCTCATCCACGCCATCGCCGTTGTCTCACATGTGGCATGCACCCCTGCAGACAAGTCTCCTACACCCCTTGGAGGGAAGGAGGGAGTATTGTAGTGGTTTTCTCCCCTACAAACGCTGTTTGTCGCCGAGTAGATGTAAAGGCGAAGGCAACGGGAGGTGTCGATTGTTCTTAACCCTTAGGCCCCAGGTGACGTTCCAGAACGTCCGCCTATTCCCGCCAATTTTTTTTTTGGAAAAGTTGATCTTTTCTCAATTTATTCCCGCACGCAGGGTGGGGTTACTGCCAACAGCACCCTAACCCAGGGCTTAAGGTCGTAAGTGCTGGAGAGGGCAATGTCTTTGTGGCACCCAAACTCAACTGATATCATGGTACCATCAGTCAGGTTGGGGAAACAAGTTAAACCATATAATTTTTCCAAGGATAAAATCCCATCATAGGAAATCCTTTCACCAAAAGTTATACAGTACGGTATACCCTGTAAGTATATAGTAAACAAGACCCCATTAACTCAAGTCTTTCCATATCTTAAAAATAACACACAAATGCCCCTTATCTTTCTTGTTTGATTGAAGACAGAGGTAAAGGGTTCTTGGTCCAGCTGAATTGCAGTAGTCAGTAGCATTTTTCAAGGTGTTGTGTTTGGCTTCATTAATTGTTATACTGTACTCTCTAGTCAATGACTACTCAACTGTTCTATTCAATGTATACCTTTTTGCTGATGATAAAGATGTTAAATACTTACATCATATTCAGGCTTACCTGGACTACATGCAGGTTGAGGTGGTCATGCACATGGTTATTACCCAACATTTAGCCATCACAAACTGCACTCGACTTCATTTATTAACCATAATTAGTAGAACTGGGTTAAATACTGTCCAGTACAGTACTATGCTCTGCACATTCTTTGGTTACTGGTTCAGTAAGTACTACTCAGACTTTGGTACTGTAGCTGTATTGTAAAACCTAAACAATTGACACCATTCTTCAGTCTTAACTTTTCTCTAAATTAATTAAATTATTGAAACATGCTTGTTTATTTTCCTTTCATTCTTACTAAGCTGTGATATATCAGTGAACAACAGTTCCGAGAAACATTGATAAGGCGAGTGAATGGCCAGATGTCACAATCCAGTACAATTTTACCTTTATGTTTAACATTTTTCATCTTTGTATGCCTTTCCTCACTCAAGAGGAGAGTGACCATGAAGAAGCGCAACATATTCGCTGTCACTCGTTCTTTCTAGCTGTATATGAGATATACAGTATTTGCTTCGGTGTTCCCCTTTCATGGCAAGTTCAAGATCCCATGTTACATCACACACCAGCAATACCTCAATCCCCAAACCCATTTGACATTATAATTCTTTCTTCATACCATTTTCAGTTCACTTATCTTCAATTTGTCACTCACCATTCTATTTGCCGACGCATCCAATCCCAATAACTCCACTCAAACAAAACACATCTCTTTCTTTGCTTATTTTCATCACTAACTTGTGCCTTCACTCCATTAACTCGTCATTCATACTTCTCTCATCACTCTCGTCTTCATCTGTCATTTATGTGGCATTCATCCTAGTATGGGGTAAACTACAGTGACATGACAGATCCTACTTTCCAACAGGAAAGTTTCTCTTTTCTTAACATGTCATTTCTTTACACCTTTCCCTTTATAAAACATCCCAGGCAGGATAACTCCATCTCTTATATACTGCATTGCACTTCGCAGTTATTTAAAAAATTATTCCGACATTAATTTTTTTTTCTACATTGCTATTTGCATTTTGTTCCGCAGCTTTCTTACATTTTTAATGTAAATAATTAGCCAATAAAATTTTAAAATACTTGCCTCATATTGCTTAAGAATAAATGAGGAGAAATTGGACATATGAGGCAAGTGGTTGAATGACTGTGCTGGGGACGAGTCTACTTGTTTTCAGTGAGTTTGAGGAGTAAGTTATATGGCGATTGTGGGGGAATGATGACACAATGAAACCTTAATTTTAGACTTAATAACATAGGTATTGGAGAATAATGAAATAAGTTAGTGAAGTAAATAAGCATACTGTTAGTAAAAGAAACAGCATTATTATTTATATATATTTTTCTTTTTACGGGGAATAACCCATCCGGGCACAGGTCATCGACCCACAACGGGGCCTGGAGGGCGAAAAAATTAGAGTAAAAGAAATTAAAAATAGAAGAGAAAAAGATTATATTACTGTACTCTACACCACGGAGATGCTGGAAAACCAGCTTTTTGAAGTGACAGATTGTTTGAGCATGGAAACACAAAAGGCAGAGCATTCCACAGTTCAGCTGTGTGAGGAAAGAAGGATGTACAATACTATAATGGGTTATTCTAGTGTGACCAGCATCCACAGAGAAACGGTGGGCACCATGGGCAAGACGAGTGTTACGAGCCCACGGCCTTGCAGGCGGTACACAGGATGCAAAATCCACCGAACAATGCTGGTACAGTATTTTCATTATTACAGTACTGTACTTAAAAAAAGGGGGATAAAATTTGTGACTTCGGATTTTGTTCATAAATCAAATTAGTGGAAAACATTTCTTTGTAACTTAAAAGTTTTCATAAACCAAACCTTACCATATCAGGGAACGTCTGTACTGTACTCAGGGCCGGCCTTAGGAGGTGCGGGGCCCAATTGGGAAATA